TACTTAATGGGTACAATGTACATTATTTGGGTGATGGATATAGTAAAATCCTAACTTGACCACTACACAGTCTACACATGTGATCAAATTGCACTTGTGCCCCATAAATTTACACCAAAAAACAAAAACAAACCCAGGGGCTTAGTAAATATCTTGTTAATCCATTAGAATACAGCATTTGTAATTGCTGTCTGCTGAGGGATAAAGCTCTGGTCCTATATATTCGAGAAAAAAACACAGGGCAGGGTATTAGGGCAAAAGAAAGGAAGCTGACCGGTACTGTTAGAAACGGTGCTGTGACCGGCATTTTTCTTTTTCTTTTCCTTTTTTTTTTATTTTTTTAAGACGGAGTCTCACTCTGTCCCCAAGCTAGAGTGCAGTGGTGCGATCTCAGCTCACTGCAACCTCCACCTCTCAGGTTCAAGCAATTCTCCTGCTTCAGTCTCCCGAGTAGCTGGGACTACAGGCACACGCCACCACGCCCGGCTAATTTTTGTGTTTTTAGTAGAGACGGGGTTTCACCATGGTCTCAATCTCCTGACCTTGTGATCCGCCCACCTCAGCTTCCCAAAGTGCTGGGATTACAGGCGAGAGCCACCTCGCACGGCCGTATTTTTCTATTCCTTGCAATTAATTCACACAAGCACGATATGAGATGGGCATTATTCCATTTGCTGTCCTTGTTATGTCTCTTGTTTTAGCTGGTAAATACATAGATGTTCAGGCAGCTTGTCAATTATTTCAGGCCACATGACCACTAAATTGACAGGATTCAAACTATGAATTTCTGGCTCCAAACCTCAAGCCTGTGTTTGGTTTGGTTTGGTTTTTCCCCACTAAATGCTTCCTATTTACTATCTTTTTATATCAAAGAGTCTATATCAGACGACTGATTTAAAATTATATTCTTCTCTGGTTTCACCCAGATAAAGAGTAAGAGATGTGAAGTGTTTTTTTGCTAGGTTTTAGGATTTGTATCTTATGATACAAGTCCTTCATGTTCAGCTGTGGAAAGGGACTTACAGCTCAAACCATCCAGGGCTCAGAGACTTAATTATGAGGACTGCCCTGTCTGGGATGGATGTCTTAGGAAGAGTGCCCACGTTTTAGATGAGGTTTAGGTCCTAGTTGATGAATTTTGCCAAGGTAATGAAGACAGCTATTAAGATAGAGGACTGATTTTATCTGTCTCTTTGCCAAGGGTGAAGATGATTATTGATCATTAAAACATGAGGCAAAGCAGGGAAAAGATATTAACCCAGGATCACAAAATCTCATCCATAAGAGTTGATCTGCTTAGCAATGCATCTGGCTTACATGTAGTCTTCAGAGATGTCAGAAAGTGCCTGGAGGTAGGGAGTGGTCTAAGGAATTTGCTCAGAGATTAAGCTACATGTGATCAGACCCAAATGGCAGCATCAGACTTAGGCAGGTCAAAAAGAGTCTTCTGACTTCAAAAGATGAGGATTGCTAAGAAGCCCAACACTTACAGCTTTTCCTTCCTGATGTATGAAATTAGTTACATTACAGCTTCATTTGTTTGTGTTGGAGCCTATCTTTTCCCATTAGGTCTGTTCAAAACTATATCTTGTGAGAGATAGTATGCTAAGTTCCTCACAATGTAAGGAGGATGAGTTTGTCAGACCTAAATGTCAGGGGGCAGTTCCTGCTGGAAAATAACTTATTTCCCTGACTTTCACATTTTATTTAGAGCAGCACCAAGTAACAGGTTCTTGGTGGTGGTTGTCAATCACAACCTAACACAGCACTTCCCATTGTAATGGAGCATAGCTGTGCACACTGAAGGAGGCTCCCACCCTGGAATAGGGCTGGGAAGAAATGCTTCAAGGCAAGCAGGCTATTCAACAGAGTCCCCATCACCCTGGGAGCCAGCTCTAGTGGACCTCAAAAGTATCGCTGCTGCCACGCGGTACGTCTGCATCTGGGTATCCACAGTGAAGAGAAATGGTGTTTACTCAGGAGTCCGGTCTTCTGCACCCTCACGGCTGCTGCTCTGCTCCAGAGGATAATATATTCTATGACCTCACTTGGAAAAATCAAAAGATCATGAAGGTCACCACAAATTAAATTAACCTTGGATACACTCTCCAAAAATGGTATTTTTTTTCAACTGCAGGATCACGGAATTATAGAGCAGAAAAAGAACCGCAGAGATTACCTGGTTCAGCTGTTCTCATTTCACAAATGAGGTAACCAGCAAAATATTTTAGACCTGTACCAGTCTTCTGACCTTCCTATAGAAGCACACACACAAAATGTGCATGTCCTGTTTTAAACCTCTTAGAGAAACAAAACAGGGAAAATAAAAGTCCTGCATATTCTTACGGGAAAAAAATTAAGTAGAAAAAATCATTGTGCGTCAACCAACATTCTATTTTGCAGAGGGAAAATTGTAACAGAAAGGACTGTGAATGTGAAGTACTTGTTTTTCTTAGGCATTTTAGAGCCCACTGACACACCGATCACATGCGTCTCCGCCTTCTTATGGGTTATTTGAATTTGATTCAGGCTCTGAATCAAGCTGATTCAAGGTGTGAGTATCATGACTTGCATTTTGCTCAAGAAACCAAGTGCCTCAGTGATGGTAATGAAAGGATTTGTTATGCTATCTTCTTCTGATTTGCAGTCACTGATTCCAGTAAAATAACTACTGTCGTCTCCCTTGTTTTCACTTTCTCTCTCTCTGGATATATATAAATCTCTCTGTCCATGGATATATATAAATCTATAGCACAGAGACGAAGATTTCTGGGTTAACATGGTAGCAAATAAGAAATGCATAATACTTTTGTTCACAACTTCCTATTTAAATGCCAAGAATATCAAGCAAAGTATGATTCTAACTATACCATAAAATATAACTCTTTCTCTCTGTACATACACAGGCATCAATCCTGTAATCTTATATTAGTCATAACAGAACAGGTTATATGTGATAACAAACAACTTCAAAACTCAGCAATTGAACACAACAAAGATTTATCACTCACCAAATTCATATCCAGATGGTACAGCCTTCTTTCATCTTCTGACTGCACCACCTTGGACACATGGCCTCCAAGATTTCAGTGGCAGAAGAAGAAAGCATTGAAAGAGGCATATAGCTCTAAACTGCCTTGGGCCATAAATGACCCATGTCATTTTCACCCACTGATCATTAGCTAGGGCTAGTCACACAGGATGGACTCAAGTGCAAGGAGATTTGGAAGTGAAGGGGAGGGCATAGAAATACGTAAGCATTACTGTCTCTGCCAATAACCTTTTTGTTTTTAATTATTATTATTTTTGAGACGGAGTCTTGCTCTGTGGCACAGGCTGGTGTGCAGAGATGCAATTTTGGCTCACTGCAACCTCTGCCTTGTGGATTCAAGCAATTCTTCTGCCTTAGCCTCCCGAGCGAGTAGCTAGGATTACAGGCGAGCACTGCCACAACTGACTACTTTTTGCAATTTTAGTAGAGACAGGGTTTCACCATGTTGGCCAGGATGGTCTTGATCTCCTGACCTTGTAATCTGCCCATCTTGGCCTCTCAAAGTGCTGGGATTACGGGCGTGTGCCACTGCACCTGGCCAGCCACTAACCTTTTAACCACAAACTTGGAGCCTCAGAGATTAAGAATCACTCCCACTAACAATTCCTAATCCTGTGTTCATGAGCCCACTAAGCAACAAAGCATATTGTTATCTGTAATTCGTCTTGATGTTGTATAACTTATGTTATACAACATAATTGTAAAGTAAATCATCACAACATATCATATATTTTAAAAGTTGGGGCTGGATGCTATGGCTCACACTTACAGTCCCAGCACATTGGGAGACCAAGGCGGGTGGATCACCTGAGGTCAGGAGTTCGAGACCAGCCTGGCCTACATGGCGAAACCCCATCTCTACTTCAAATACAAAAATTAGCCAGGCATGATGGTGGGCGCCTATAATCCCAGGAACTCAGGAGTTTGAGGCAGGAGAATCGCTTGAACCTGGGAGGCAGAAGTTGCAGTGAGCCAAGATCATGCCATTGCACTCCAGTCTGGGCAACAAGAGTGAAACTCCATCTCAAAACAACAACAGCAACAATAGCAACACAAAAGTGGGGAAAGGGGATAGAAAAAAATAATAAAATTAGTTAAAAATCTTGAATATATACATGGCAAGAGATAAAATATAAATAAATGTTATATCCCTATTTCTGCAGCTGTTCCCCAGGCTATAATTGGTTTAATGCTTTTTTCCTCTATTCTCTATTCTAAGTTCCCATTGCCCTCAGCCAACGCCAAAGAAGGTCAGGGTTCTATATCTGGTAGGGAGAACTAACACTTCACTTCCAGAATTTCTCAGCCGTTGATGGTCCCTCCTGGATTTTGTTAGACATCAATTAACTTTTCCTCTGTACTCAGCAACATGAAGAATCACCCAGAGGACTGCGTCTTCTCCTGTTGTGTTCCCTTTGCTGCCATTGTGTAGGGCCAACCCTGTTTCTCCTTGATAATTAGAATGAACTAGTGCAATTAACATGGTGACCCCATACATTCCATATTCATGGTACGTCATAGGAGCCCTATGTGGACAGGTAGCAGTTTTCAACACTGAATTTAATGGAATGTTTGAGACAACACATGTGACAACATTTATCCCTTAGAAACTAAGATCTCTAACCTAGCAGACTGCCAAGGTACACAGGAAAAGGAAGTAAAAGTTTTTCAAGAATAATATGAAGCACCTTTGAGAAGCCAAGTCAGTTGGATCACCAGGTAAAGAGTTTGAGACCAGCCTGGCCAACATGGTGAAGCCCTGTCTCTACTAAAAACACAAAAATTAGCTGAGCATGGTGGTGCCTGCCTGTGATCCCAGCTAGTTGGAAAGCTGAGGCATAAAAATTGCTTGAACCCAGGAGGCGGAGGTTGCAGTGAGCCTAGATCGTGCCACTGCACTCCATCCTGAGCAACAGAGCAAGACTCAGTCTCAGAAAAAGAAACAAAAAGAATAGTATGAAGTGCCACTATAATTTTTATCCCTTGGCTGCATAGCCCTTGTATTCTGGCTCTAGAATAAATCAGACACTGTATTGGCCACTAAAACTGAACACCCTGCAACTTGGAGGATAGCTTCCCAACTCTAAAAAGAGTCTCTTGTTCAGCATTTACTGAAATTTCAAAAAGTCATTCTAATTTTACTAAGGATGGTTGTTAATATGGAAAATGTGCTGATAAGATCTATGAAATCTGTGTGCATCAGCCCGTTGCATTAGTTTTTACTGTGCAAAATTAGTTCCATGGAGAAAAACTTAGGAGTTCTGTTTGGTATGTAGAGAGCTGGAAAGAACATTGATATGATATGGATGTTTGTCCCTTCCAAATCTGATGTTGAAGTGTAATTCCCAGTGTTGGAGGTGGGTCCTGGTGGGAGGTAATTGGATCGTGGGGGCAGATCCTTCATGAATGGTTTAGCACCATCCCCTTGGTGACAAGTGAGTTCTTGCACTTGTTCACATGAGGAAGATCTGGTTGTCTGAAAGTGTGTGGCACCTCCCCGCTCTCTCTCTTGCTCCCACTCTCACCATGTGACATGCTCGCTCCCTGCCACCTTCCACTGTGACTACAAACTTCCTGAGGCCTCACCAGAAGCAGATGCCAGCACCATGCTTCCTGTACAACCTGCAGAATCATAAGCCAATTAAACCTCTTTTCTATACAAATTACCCAGCCTCAGGTATTTCTTTATAGCAATGCAAGAACAGCCTAATAAAAATAGCTCTTTCATCTTTAAAAACACACACAAAGTCTGACAAACTGTAAGCTTATGATAATCTATAAGGAATCTGAGGTTGCAAGGCAACCAAATAGCCTGAACTATAAAATAAGACATGTGCTTCAAGGGAGAGATGAAAAATGCACACTTGCTTACTTGGGGAAGACGCAGCTGAAGATTGGTGAGAATAATTTTGATAGAATTGTTAACAAAACTAAAAATAATGACAAATACCAAATCACAGATCTAAGAAGCTCAGAGCACACAAAAAGATTATGTATATGTTTAAAACCACTCTATATTCAAAGTGTTAAAAAATAAAAGAGAGAAAATCTTCAAGGCAACCAAAGAAAAAAGATATTACATAAGGAAAAACAAAGAGAATTACAAGAGACCTTGTCTGAAATCATGAAAACCACAAGGCAATGCAGCAACACCTTTAAAGCACTGAAAGAAAAGGGGAAAAAACTCCCAACTCAGAATTCTTTTTAAAATTTTTTTAAATTGGCATATAATAATTGTGCACATTTATGGGGTAGATGGTGATGTTTGGATAGATATAACGTATAGTGATCAGACAGGTGTAATTACCACATCTACTATCTCAAACATTCATTATTTCTTTGTGTTGGGAACATTCTATATCCTCCTTCTAGCCACTTGAAGCTATATATTATTAACTATAGTCATCCTACAATGGTATAAAATAGTGAAATTTGAAGACCACAATTCTATATATGGGAACCTATATATTTCAAAAATAAAGAAAAAATAAAGCTTTTTCTCAAATAAAAACTGAGAAAATTGACTGTCATCAAACCTGCACTATAAAAGAGCTTATTAAAGTTTCTAAAGGAGATGATACCTAGTAAAAATTTGAATTCACGCAAAGAAGTCATGTTAGAAATGAAGTAAATTAAGGTACAAATAAATTTTATTTTTTATATTTTTTATTTCTCCAAAAATAACTAAAGCAATAGTAGTAGCAATGTACTGTGTTTTTATAAAATATGAAAAAAGCAAAATGTATGAAAAAACACAACAGATGCAAGAGAGAAATTGGGAATACACTATTGTAAAGTTCCTAACTACACATGAATCAGTACAGCAATATTTGAAGACAGATGCAGATAAATTAAAGATGTAGATTGGAAACCCTATGGCAAACAACTGAAAATACTTTAAAGAGAAATAGAAATAATATTTTATTTTATTTTAAATGCAATCATAATGTATCATAAAGAATGTTTCCTTAACCCCCAAAAGGCCAAAAAGAGAAAAATATATTTTTATAAAAACCTAGCAAGATGGTATATCTAATCATAAAATAATTATACTAAACGTAAATAGTCTAAACACACCAATCAAAAGATTATTGTGTTGGATTTTTTTTTATAAAAAAGCATGACTTAACTGTATGCTGTCTATAAGAAAATGACTTAAACTATAAAGATATAGATGGGCTAAAGTAAACAGATAGAAAAAGACATAGCATGCAAATTGTAATCAAATAATGCTGAAATATAAGAAAAAAATAGACTTCAGGTGAAGGAAGATTATCAGAGGTAAAGAATGATATTACATAATAATGGAGTTATTTCCTCTAAGAACATATATTAATTCTAAATGTACATGCACCTAACAACAGAGTATCAAAATACACAAAGCAAAAACTGATGTAACTGAAAGCAGAAATAGAGAAATCCACAATTATAGTTGGAAAGTTCAAACACCAATAGGCAAATATCCAGAAGCTGTTTTTACCTAGTGAGACTGTAAGCACACCTTTGCTACCTAGACTCAGAGTTCTGTTTACACTCTACTGAGACTTGATTTGGTACTTAGGAATCTTAGCATTTTGTGACATCAGTGATATCATCCCTGGAAAATAAAAAGTAGCAGAAGCCTAAAATACCCCAGTAAATCACATGCCAAAAGGTGTGAGATAATTTTTTTAAAATGTAGGGGCTTACATGCCCAGTAAAATTGCAGTATTTAAGTAGTCAAGCACATGTTAGGATTTCCCCTCCAAAGTACAAGTCATGTTACTCTTCCTTGCGCTAATACACTGAAGGGGAGAGTAGTGGCTCAGTGTGTGAGCACCGAAGTCAGAATACATGGATTCAAGTCTTGGCCCCACTCCTACTAGCTGTGTGTCTTTGAGCAAATTCTTCACCTCTCTGTGCCTCAGCTTCCTCACTGTAAACTGGTACTTGTAATGGTACGTTCAATGACATCTACATTGTGTTTTCTTTACGTGCGTTTTAAGATCAAACTCCAGTATAATCCAAGACACTACTACCTTGAAGAGAGAGTGGGTTACCTTAACTTTTATGGAACAAAATTATAAAAAGTAGGAATTTTCTATTTGACAAACATACATAACCAAAAGCATCTCATTATTTGAAAAGCATAGGAGGGCAAGTTCTTGGGTAAGGAATCTGTGTTTCACTCAAATATAAATGTTTGGAGGAAAAAAGCCTTTTGGGTAAAATATTTAAATTTATATAAGAAAATGTTAGAAAAAAATATAGGGAGTGTATATAAAACTTGCTTTATTGCATGGGGCAGGGGAAGTTCAGGCCTAATACTCTTAAAGTAAGAGTCGGGTCCTTTATTCTTCAATACGACTGTGCTGTACCTTGTAAAGTATTTTATCTGCTGCTTATTTGTGGAATGAAACGTCAAACAAACCCAAAGGGGAGGGTGGGGGAGGGCAGATCAGGGCAGGCAGGGCAGAAATCTGCCTGCCGATTCTATTAAATACACCTTTTTGCCAACCAAAAAAAAAACAAACAAAAAAAAAAAAACCCAGGAGTGCAACTAAACTTTTAAACAAGACCGAAACAATTAACCTCTTAGAACAACAGTTCTTGAAGTGCAGTCCACAAACAACTGGTGATCCCCACAATTCTTCAGGAAGCCTGTGAGATTGAAACTATTTGATAATAAGAGAAAAGTATTATTTGCCTTTTCCACCATACTGGCCTTTGTCCTGATAGTGCAAAAGTGATGATGGGTAAAAATGCTGATATGTTTGCATAAATCAAGAGCATGGCATCAAACTGAATTGGCAGTCATTGTATTCTTCACTTCTATGCACGAACAGAAAAAAAAAGTTGTTTTTCTCATGAATATACACAACAAAGCAATAACAATTGTTCATTTGATTCCTTTCATGAGTACGTTGTTCTAATATTCAGTGTGATGAAATGAAAACTACACACACAGTACTGCTATGTACTGAAGTTCCGTAGTTGTCTCAACAAAAAGCACCATAGCAATTGCTGGAGCTGTGAGCTGATCTAGTCACTCTTCTCCTTGAAAACTATTTTGATTTGAAAGAACAGCTGACAGACAACACAAGAACCATGGTTATTCAGACTTGGATATTTGACAGACATTTTCTTGAAAATAAGCAAAGTGAGCCAAGGACTTCGAAGAAAACAAGTGACAGGATTTGTTGCCAGTGATAAAATTAAAGTCTCGACTGAAAATTCGAATTCTGTAAAACTTATTTTCATCATCATGAGCATGACAGTTTCTAAATACTTGAAAAGAAAAAAAATGCCTTTTTTGAGACTAGTGAGATATGACAACGTAGATCATCTCTGGAAGATCTGCATAGCTGAGTGAGCCACTGTTTCTCAATCTACCAATACATGATGTTACAAAATAATGTGTGGGTGGAAGATTCATGCAAATTTCCAGGCACAATAGTAAAATTTCAGTAACAATAATAAAAGGTTCATTAATATAGTTTCAGATTCCACATTGTAACTAACCTTTAAGAAGCTACCACTTCTCAAGTTTCTATATAGTATCAAAGAAGAATATTCACAATTATATGAAAAAGTTACTAAAATAATCCTTTTTTTCCTACTGCACAGCTTTGCAATTGCAACAAAACTAGCATATTGCAATAGATTAAATGTAGAGGCAGATATGAGAGTTTGGCTGACTTCCATTAACCCAGACATCAAAGAAGTTTTCAAAACTGTAAGACAATGCCACTTCTTACTAATTTATTTTTTTTGCAAAATGGTTATTTCTTATTAAAACTGTTAACTTTTGTTAACATGGAGTATGTTTATTACTGCTATTTTAAAATTAATAAATACTTTTTAAACTTTTTTACTTCAATTTAAAATATGATAAATTCTAAATGTATATGCACCTAGCAGCAGAGTATTTGAAAAAGCTATGAAAATGATACTCAAATTTAGTAACTATTCAAAAATTAAACACTGACTGATGAAACACACATAAACAAAGGCTCTTTGAGTTCTTGATAATTTTTAAGAGCATAATGGATTCTTAAGTCCAAAATATTTCTGCATCACTGTCTTAAATGGTTACAGCAAACATCAAGAAAATGTAGAGACATAGTTCAACAAAATGAAGAAACCTGTAATCACAATAAGAAATCTAATAGAAATATTGAAATACTAATTATTTAAAAATCGAGCAGAAATCTTGGAGGTAAAAAATACAATGATCAAAATGAAATGGAAAGCATCAACAGCATAACCAATCAACTAAAATAAAGAATCTGTGAACTCAAATACAGGTTATTTAAAATATATCTTCAAAGGAAAAAAGATAAAAAAGAATGAAAGGGAATGAATAAATACATAGTATATACAGGACAGGATCAAAAGAGGAATTTGAATCATAGGAGTTAAAGAAGGAGAAGAAAAAGATAAAGGGGCTGAAAGTTTATTTAAAGAAACAGGCCAGGTGCAGTGGCCCATGCCTGTAATCCCAGAACTTTGAGAGGCCAAGGTGGGTGGATCACTTTAAGTCAGGAGTTCTAGAGCAGCCTGACCTACATGGTGAAACCCCATCTCTACTAAAAATACAAAAATTAGCTGGGCATGGTGGCTTGCACCTGTAATTTCAGCTACTCAGGAGGCTGAAGCAGGAGAATCACTTGAACCTCGGGAGGCGAGGTTGCAGTGAGTCAAGATTGCACCATGGCACTCCAGCCTGGGTGACACAGCAAGACTCTGTCTCCAGAAAAAAAAAGAAAAAAGAAAAAAAGAACAGAAAAATAAATAGTAGCAGAAAATCTACTAAACCTGCAGAAAGTTGTAAATATTCAGTTATAGGAAGGTTAAAGGAGTCTAACCTGATTCAATCCAAATAAGAGTACTCAAGACATTTTATAATCAAACTGTCAAAAATCAAAGACAAAAAGAAGATTCTGAAAGTAGCAAAAAAAAAGCAAATAACATATAAGGGAGTTTGAATATAGCTAGCAGACTTTTCAGAAGAAAACTTATAGTCCAGAAAAGAGTAGAATGGTATTCAATGTACTAGAGAAAGAAAAAAACTTGCCAACCAAGAATACTCTACCCAGAAAATCTGTCCTTCAGAAATGAGAGCGATCAGGACCTTCCCTGACAAACATAGAAATCATATGAAGTGTCTTCTTTGACCACCATGGCATAAAATGAGAAATCAATAACAGGAGGAACTTCAGAAAATTCATAAGTACCTTAAAACAACATGATCCTGAGCAACCAATAGATCAATGAAGAAATTAAAAGGGAGGTTAAAAAATTTCTTAAGACAAATTGAAATGGAAACACAATATATCAAAAGCTATGGGATACAGGAAAAGCAGCTCTAGGGATAAAATTTGTAGTAATAAATGCCTACGTTAAAAAAAGAACAACCTCAAATAAACAAGATAACTTTGCACCCAAAGGGACTAGAAAAACAAAAACAAACTAAACCCAAAGTTAATAAAAGTGAGTGAATAATAAAGATCAAAGCAGACATAAATGAAATAAAAACTAGGAAAACAATAGAAAATATCAAGAGTCTGTCTTTTGAAAAGACAAACAAAACAGACAAACCTTTATCTAGACTAAGAAAAGATAGAAGACTCAAAATCAGAGAAATAAAAGAAACATTACAAAAATAAAGGTGACATTACATTATTTTTTGTAATATAATGTCTCCTTTAAAAATAATGTCTCTTTTAAAAATAAGGGAGACACTACATTACATTATAAAAAAGTCTACAAAAGAAAAAGGATCATAAGAGGCTATTGTGAACAATTATACACAAACTGAATAACATAGAAGAAATGGATAAATTCCTTGACACATACAACCTATCAAGACTGTACTATGTAGAAACAGACAATATTTACAGACTAATAATGAGTAAGGAGATTGAATCAGTAATAAAGAGTCTTCCAACAATGAAAAGATAAGGACCTGATGGCTTCACTGCTGAATTCTATCAAACATTTGAAGAAGAACTAATACCAATTCTTCTCAAACTCTTCTAAATAATTGAAAAGGAGGGACGACTTCCATTTTATGAGGCCAGCATTGCCCTGATACCAAAGCCAAGCAAAGATATTTTAAAAAGAAAGAAAATTACATGCCAATAACCCCGATGAACTTGCATGCAAAAATTCTTAACAAAATACTAGCAAACCAAATTCAGTAGCATATCAAAAAGATCCTTCACCATTATTAAGTGGGATTCATCACAGAGATTCAAGGATGATTGAAAATACATAAGTCAATAAACATGATACATTATATTAAAAGAATTAGAGAGAAAACCATATAATCATTTCAATAGTACCAGAAAAAGCATTTGACAAAGTTAAACATTCCTTAATAATAAAAACGCTCAACAAATTAGGTATAGAAGGAACACACCTAAACGTGTTAAAGGCCATATATGACAAACCCCAGCTGAAACCATATTCAATGGGAAAAATGTTGAAACGTATTTTTCTAAGATCCAGAACAAGATAAGGCTGCCCACTCTTGCCACTTCTATTCAACATAGTATTGGAAGTTCTAGCCAGAGCAATTAGGAAAGAGACAGACATAAAAGACATTCACATGGGAAAAGAAGTTAAATTATCCCTGTTTGCAAATGATGCAATCTTATATATAGAAAATCCTCAAAATGGCACCAAAAACTGTTAGAACTAATAAACATACTCAGTAAAGTTGCGGGTTACAAAATCAACATACAAAAATCAATAGTGTTTATATACACTAACACTGAACTACCTGAAAAAGAAATTTTTAAAAACACCGTTTATAATAGCTACAAAAAATAAAATAGTACTAAATTTAACCAAGAAGGTTAAAAATCTCTAAACCTAAAACCGTAAAACAGTCATAAAATAAATTTTAAGATACAAATAAATAAAGATATTTCTTGTGTTCATGGATTGAAACATTAATATTGTTACAATGTCCATATTCACCAAAGCAACCTGCAGATTCAATGAAATCCCTATTGAAATGCTGATGAGATTCTTCACAGAAACAGGAAGAACAATCCTAAAATCAGTGTGGAACCACAAAGATCCCATAGAGTCAAAGCAATCTTGAGCAAAAAGAACAAAGCTGGAGCCACTACAGGACCTGACTTCGAAATACACTACGAACCTAGAGTAGCCAAAGCAGCATGGTACTGGCTTAAAAATAGACACGTGCACCAATGGAACAGAATAGAGAGCCCCAACATAAATCCATGCACTGATGGTCAGTTGATTTTCAACAAAAGTGCCAAGAACACAATGGGAAAAGAGCTGCCTCTTCAATAAATGGCGTTGGGACAATTAAATACCCATATACGGAAGAATGAAATTAGACCCTTATCTCACAACACATACAAATATCAACCCAGAATGGATTAAAGACTTAAATATAAGACTGGACTATGAAACTACTGGAAGAAAACAGGAGAATAGCTCCATGATATTGTCTAGGTGGTGGTTTTTTAATATAACCCCAAAAGACCAGCCAACAAAAGGAAAAATAGATAAATCACACTAAAAAGCTTCTACACAGTAAAGGAATTAATCAACAAAGTGAAGAAACAACCTACAGATGGGAGAAAATATTTGCAAATCATACATCTGATGAAGGGTTCATATCCAAAATTTATAAGGAACTCAAACAATTTAAGAGCAATAAAACAAATAACCCAATTAAAAATTGAGCAAATAACCTGAATACACATTTTTCAAAATAAGACATATAAATGTCCAATGGATTTATGGAAAAAAGCTCAGTATCGCTAATCATCTTTATTAAAAAGACAGAAGATAACAAGTGTTGGAGAGGATGTAGAGAAAAGGAAACCCTCACACATTATTGGTAGGAATGTAAATTAATGCAGCCATTATGGAAGATGGTATAGAGCGCCCTCAAAATATCTAAGATAGAAATACCATATGATCTAGCAATCCCACTATTGGATATACTAAATATATCCAAAAAAATTGAAATCAGTATGTCTGTGTCTCTACTGCTATGTTTATTGATACATTATTCATAATAGCCGAGAACTGTTATCCACCTAAGTGTCCATCAAAGAATGACTGGATAGAGAAAACATGGTATATATACACAATATATATCATTCAGCCGTAAAAAAAAGGAGGGGGGGGAAATCCTGTCATTTGCAGCAACATGAATGAACCTGGAGGATGTTATGTCAAGAGAATAAGCCAGGCACAGAAAGATAGATCCACATGGTGTCACTCATATGTGGAATCTAGAAAAGCTGATCTCGTAAAAGCAGAGACTAGAATAGTGGTTACCAAGGTCTGAAGTAGTTGGCAGCGGAGGAATGTTGACCCAAGGATATAACATTTCAGTTACGTAGGAGTAATTTCAAGAGATCTATTGTACCACATGGTGAGTACAGTTAGCAATATATTGTATTTTTGAGAAAAGCTAGGAGATTGCTATGAAGCGTCCTCACCACAAAAATGGTAACCTGTGTGAGGTAATGCATATGTTAATTAGCTAAATTTAGTCACCATATATATGTAATTGTATATAATTCAAACTATCATGTTATACACAATAA